AGAAAAAATAGCCGTCTCTTCTACTCTAACAGCTTCTTCTCTGGCACTTCCCGACTGTGGCACTCCCTTCCGCTTATTTGATTCCCTGATTGATATAATCTTCAAATAATTGAATGTAATGTCAATCGACATCTAGAGATGCTTTGATATTGATCCCCGTCCTTCTCTTTATCCTTTCCTCAAACACCCCTCTTTATTCTTTCTCTCACTTTTTGTAACCCCTTGCGTGCTAGTGGCACTCCCGTCTTGCTTGGGGTGAGATGCTTAAAAAAATACGTGCATATCTAGCATCAGCTTACGAAGTGCAGCAATTAGTGGTACTAGTGCCGAGATGCTGATCATGGACCCCGTGATTTTGTAGACGCTAAAACTATCAGAAATTGTTATTACATGCTAATTAGTATGAGATCTATAATAGATACACACGGAAGCAATTGTCTTTCAACATCCAGACTGGAAGATAAATGAGTAAAAGTTACAGGAAATGCTGAAGTCAGTCAAAGATCTACCAAAACGACTATTGGACATATGGATGCATGTCGCATATGTATGAGCTTAACGCTGCAATCTGCTTCTTCAGTTTACTTATCTCCTATCGGAAACCAGAAGTATCTGTCGGCTGCGGCTTCATAATATACCAACTGCATCTCTGTAGAGAGTAACCCGCCACCCAAATGAGGCGTCCTGAGATGATGACGTCCAACGACAAGGTCTCTGATTTGGAGGTCTTAAGGAGCGTGGAACCACCTCTTAATTGCTGGTGTTCTCAGGTCCACCCTGACCCGGGATGGTAGCACCTGCTAGGGTCCCAGCTATGGGCAAATAGTTAACCCTCAAACCCAGATCCCGTTCTGGGTAAGACGATAAACTACGTCCATCAGCAAGGCTTCTGATCAGGAGGTTTTCAGGAGTGTGGAACCAAATCTTATTTGCAGGTATTCCCAGGTCCACCCTGAGCCGGGGTGGTAGCACCTGTTAGGGTCCCAGCTATGGGCAAAGAGTTAACCGCCACACTGTGGTCCAAACACTATGAAAGTATAAAAATAGGTTTTAATGCTAGCAGTAAATTTTTGAAGGAAAAATATACTATCAATACGTTATTACCAGCAATTCTCTTTTTGAAGAAAAAATATTACAAACAATAAAAACCTCGTCGACATTAAATAACCCATTAAAGTTGATATACCGTAAAACATAACAAAAAAAACCCCAGATGTATCAATTAGTTAACATATAATATTAGATATATACTTTTAAATAACACATATTATTAAAAAAAAAATAACTTGAGTCCATAATCATAAAACACTTACATTGAATAAAATATCTTTCAGCTAAGTAACTCAACTATTTAACACAAATTTACTGTGCATGAAAGCGGAAGTTGCATTATGTTTGGTATAAACGAGGTTTTGAAAACGCTCAACATATGTTTTGAATGTGTAATCGTTCTAAACACCAAACGTCGCTAACTTCAGATGCGTAATACAGTGTAACCCGGATATAAGAGACCCGGATAAAAGAGAAACCCGGATATAAGAGAGATTGTCTCTGGTCCCAAATTAGAGCCAGTGTTAATGTATATAAAATAGACAAAACCCGGATATAAGAGAAACCCGGATATAAGAGAGATTTTCTCTGGTCCCAAATTAGAGCCTGTGTTAATGTATATAAAATAGACAAAACCCGGATATAAGAGAAACTCGGATATAAGAGAGATTGTCTCTGGTCCCAAATTAGAGCCTGTGTTAATGTATATAAAATAGACCAAACCCGGATATAAGAGAAACCCGGATATAAGAGATATTTTCTCTGGTCCCAAATTAGAGCCTGTGTTAATGTATATAAAATAGACCAAACCCGGATATAAGAGAAACCCGGATATAAGAGAGATTGTCTCTGGTCCCAAATTAGAGCCTGTGTTAATGTATATAAAATAGACCAAACCCGGATATAAGAGAAACCCGGATATAAGAGACTTCTCCGGTCCCGACAACTCTCTTATATCCGGGTGACACTGTATATCCGGTTTTTGAAATTAACCAGCGGTCGAGCTTAGAAGTACGAAGGACTTTGACTCGCACAAGAACAAAACGTCAATTAACTTACAGGAACCGAAGCGAAAATCACTCAGCCATCTATTATAGCAGTAGAAGGTTTTGCTTGTCGAAGGGTTTGCACGCCTCTCTTGTCTTCCGAACAGGAGTAGAGGGTTGCCCCTTGCTTCCGGATTAAGATTTGTTATCCGATTATTTCCGAAGTCTACTTCCACACTATATTTCTAATGTCTCCGTCTAAACTCTGAAATCTTATTGACTATTGATTTAAATTCTTTTAACGTAATAGAATTAGATAGGTTTGCAGATCGCCCGGTTCACACTCCTCCCCGGTATTTCTTTTGAACGGGAGTGAGATTAGGGTTCCGGCTCCTTCCAACGTTTACTTTCACGCCATTAATTCTAAGGTCTTCGAATGAACGCGGAAATGTTATGCTCTATCGAAATCTTGACCTTTTCAAGTCTGAAGTTGACCTTATCTTTCCTGCATAGGCCCAAGAACTTCTCTTTTTTTTCTTCTTTTTCCTATGCTCATGTAACTATAATGACAAAAGTACGCAGTTTTAGACTTAAAGAAAGCTTTATTCATCTGGGAATACAAGGTTCATGTATAGTGTCCTTTTATAGTCCCAGTAAACAGAAATAGGTCCCTCAAAGAGGAGAGTAACAAAAGCAAGGGGAGACCAATCTAGATTATTCATGACAACGACATCTAACAGTAACCTCTAGTTTGAATGGATTTGAAAATTGTATTTGGTGAATAAACAAAAAACAGTTTATGGTCTTTTGTAAGTTTAGCACTGGCACACTCACCCCACACACGGATTGCTCCGAAAGTAATGCATTTTAATATTATATTATCCTCCAGTATCAGAGTATGCTGTTAGTGGTGGGGAGGTATATATATCGAATTTTCTTTCTTCATTTTTGTCAGTCCTTTTATTTCTTCAATTTTTTTTTGTATGTCTCTTTTCTTTCTTCGTTTCTCCTTTCGTTTTTTTTGTTCCCTTCTCCCTCTCTTTCTTTCTTTCTTTCTTCTCTCTTTCGTTCTTTCTTTCTTTCTTTCGTTCTTTCTTCTTTCTTCTCTATCGTTCTTTCTTTCTTCTCTCTTTCTTTCTTTCTTTCTTTCTTCTCTTTCGTTCTTTCTTTATTCTCTCTTTCGTTCTTTCTTTCTTCCCTTTCGTTCTTTCTTTCTTCCTTCTCTCTTTCTTTCTTTCTTTCTTCTCTTTCGTTCTTTCTTTCTTCATTCTCTCTTTCGTTCTTTCTTTCTTTCTTTCTTTCTTTTCTCTTTCTTTATTTCTTCTCTCTTTCATTCATTCTTTCTTTCTTTCTTTCTTTCTTCTCTTTCGTTCTTTCTTCTCTCTTTTGTTCTTTCTTTCTTTCTTCTCTTTCATTCTTTCTTTATTCTCTCTTTCGTTCTTTCTTTCTTTCTTTCTTTCTTTCTTCTCTTTTCTTCTTTCTTTCTTCCTTTTCTCTTTCTTTCTTCTCTTTCGTTCTTTCTTTCTTCCTTCTCTCTTTTGTTCTTTCTTTCTTTCTTCTCTCTTTCTTTCTTCTCTCTTTCATTCTTTCTTTCTTCTCTTTCGTTCTTTATTTCTTTATTCTCTCTTTCGTTCTTTCTTTCTTCTCTTTCGTTCTTTCTTCTCTCTTTCTTTCTTTCTTCTCTCGTTCGTTCTTTCTTTCTTTTCTCTTTCTTTCTTTCTTTCTTTCTTTAACCCTCTTAAATATTGCCAGAATGTCCGAGACGTGCTTGTTAACCATCGCGTCCCTGTAGACGATCTATTTTTATTGTTCACATTCCTCGTCATGTTTTTTTTTTTTTTTTTAATTTCTCCTTTGAGAAAATCACACATACACCATTATTGGAGAAAATGCTTCGACATTTAAACAAATAAAGAAAGAGAACTTTTATCGTCAACAAAAATTATGCCACGAGGCTTTTAATTGTTTGTTCGCCATGATTAACGAAAGAAAAGGAATAATGATAGAAAAGAAAAATTTTAAAAATGTATTTCAAGCAAGAAAAAATGTACTAAAAATTAAAAACAAAGAAATAGCATAAAAAACAAAGAAACTATGATTTCAAACAATCAACCTCAGACAACTGAATGTCCCCACCAATGAAAACAAAAACAAAAAAAGAAAGAAAAAAGGCGACTAGAAAAATAAGTGAAAAAGAAACGATAAAAATTTCTCTGTTTACATTCGATCATGGCGGCCACATAATGTGAAAAATGATATTTGAAGAGATCAACCAGAGTGCCGAAATAATTTCAAACACAATAATAATGATGCCGATGATTATTAATATTAATAATAATGATAATAATAATAATAATAATACCATCATTACCCATGCAGTCACTACTACTACTGATAATATAAAGAAGAAAAAGAAGTAATAATAATAATAATAATAATAATAATAATAATAACAGAAAGAAGAAGAAGAAGAAGAAGAAGAAGAAGAAGAAGAAGAAGAAGAAGAAGAAGAAGAAATAATATTAACGTTAAAAGAGAAACAAAATCTATTACGGTGCGTACATAAACAAGTTCCTTTGATGTCAGTTCAAAATCACTCTGCCTAAATTGCAAATGTAATTACTGCAATGTCATCATACCTTTCGCTTGAATAAATGAATTGTAGATTTTTTTGCTGATCTTATATTCTGAGTTCACATTTTAAAATCGTTTTCGCAGCAATTGCTTAAGTTCGGGATATAACAACAACAACAACAATAATAATAATATTTTTTACGGGAAGAAAACTGCAAGAAATTGGTAAGAACACCACCCAGAACCGGTTACACAGATAGGACCTGTGACAATTTTGTCGGTCTTTACAATACACACAGATAGCTCAACCACAATTGGCCTTTTTTTATACGTTCTTGCCGAGCCAGAGAATTTGCATATTGGGCACGTTGCCAGCCTTGATCTGACTCAATGACGCATGCGCCTCGTTATTCCAGCGCCAGTGCTCGGAGAGTCTGCCTCACGAGCAATTTACTCGCACATATAGGCTACGTTAATCTAACACTCTTGGACTTCCGAGGTAATTCTTCTCAACAATCAAATCCAATCGGTCAGACATCGTGATTAGAGGACGCAAATGTACCTCTTTATTGACATGGCAGTCCCTGAAGACTGTAATGTATCTTTGAAGAATTTCAAAAAGCTAACAAAATACAAGAACCATAAAATCTCAAAAATGTGACACGCGAGGACATCAACAATTCCAGTTCTAGTAGGAGCCCTCAGTTTGACTGTAAAAGTTTCCGGGTGACTCATTGAAAGGAGCCCTAGTTGCCCATGCCTTTAAAAAGTAGAGAACAGTGTACTCACAAGTACACAACACACATTACGAGGAGAGTTTTCTATGTAAAACTAGCAGCATGGCCCGGCGTTGCCCGTGCTTGATTCAAAAATCGTACCACTCATACACCAATCGCTATCACTTTACTTAAAATATTTTTGCCCTTCCTTGCCTTTAAAGGAGTACCTTTTTGCCATGCTGATGTTGCTACATGCCTTACTTCTTGCCTATCTCACACTGCGAATTTTTTTCCAAGCTCTATACTAAACATTAAATCTGTTACGAAAAAAGAACTAAACAAAATGAACACAAAACGCTCAGCTTTAAAAAAAAGGACTCGTAACTGGAAAAACCGAATGATAAAAGAATGTTAACAACAAATACTTTTTCACACCCAACCCAGTTCTGCGGAATCAGAATCAACGGTGAGTTTAAGCAAGCGAATCAGCCAATTGGCGTAAAGTGCCATGCAGATTTAAATTTTTCTAACTATTGACGAATACAGCTATCGATTTTTTTGCATGCTAGCATGCTAGTTAACATTCTTGTCAGTCAACTGTTGGCTCTCACGAGGGCCAATTGAATCTTCCTGTCTATTCATGACAGCCAGCTATAGGCTCTCACTCTGGCCAGTACAAAATAGCCGCAAACTACATGAAAAACTGCCATAGAAGCCTGAAAAAATCGATTATTTCCACTATCGATGTGAGTTGGGAAATGCAAAGTCGGTCTTGGCCATTCCGCTAACTTGGAGCATGTGCATCTAAATTTTGGTGCAAATCCGTCGACAATTGCGGCCGTGCATTCGTTACACACACACACACACACACACACACACACACACATACACACACATCCTGCCTTTTATAGATAGAGTTGTGTGTGACCCTAGGTTTTTTTTTTAAATCTTGAGTGGAAAATGTCGTGATGCCATTTCTGAACTTAGGTCTCTGGTTGAGACCCAGAAATCAAAGGAATAATAATAATAATAATAATAATAATAATAATAATAACTGTTTAAATCTCATACATCTATCTTATAGAAAGTAATTCTCGTGTGCATATTTTACGGAAACTTAGAATCATGTCCGATGATTAAACAAATGAATATCTTAACCCTAGAAAACTAACCATCAATTAAAGTTACACCACTACTAACCATTGGTATATCATACCCGACTTTGAAAATATCAAAAAAAAATATTAAATATAAAACTTTATTTGAAATATTTTACGTGCAGGCACTTCAAATTTTGTACTTTGAGTCAACATTAATAGGAACTGAAAAGCATATTATTTAGCTAAGAAAATCAGGTGCTGAAAATTGTAATTAAAAATATGAAAATTTGCGCTGGGTACTATATACCCATGGTTAGTGCTCTAGGGTAAATAAAAAGCGGTCTGAAGAGAATAAAAAGAAACTTGCAAATTGAAGTTGCGTCGAACAAAATAATTTCCGCTGCATCTATTGAGAATTCAACACGATGAACAAACAGCGTCGAGCTGAGTAAATTATAAACGCACTTTGGAAAAGTCCTTAACTGAAAAAATAAGCCCTTTTTATACTTGCTTAAAAGAAAGACATAGACCCGGTTTACACACAAAAAAAAAAAGTAGACGTGTTTTACACTTGAGTGTCAAGGCAGAGATAGGTACATCTTACACTAGAATGAGAAAGGTAGAAATAGGTTCGGTTTATATTAGACCCAAAAAGGTCGACATAAATCGGCTTTACACTTTATAGTACAGGTAGACAGACGCCTGGTTTACGCTTAAGTAAGAACGCTAGATACAGATGCGGTTTACCCATGAATGTAAATTAGTCTTAAGTCCAATTTACACGAGAATCATAAAATATGGATATAGAAGTGGTTTATACTTGAGTCACAAAGCAGATTCATGCATGGTTAACGTTAGATTTAAAAAAAAATAGAGATAGGTTTGCTTAACATGAGAATGAAAAACATAATAATAGGCCTGATTTACACGAGTCAAAAAGATAGGCATGGGTCTGATTTACACTTGTATCAGAAAGGCAGGCAAAGCTTCGATTTACTCTTGAATAAAAAACATAGGTATACGCACGATTTACACATGAGTCAAAAAGTTAGTCCGATTTGCCCTTGTGTCGGATAGGCAGGTATATGTCTGATTTGCACTTGTGTGAAAAAGGTAGGCATACGTCTAATTTACTCTTGAGTCAAAATGGTGGGTATAGGTTCGATTTACACTTGAGTCAATGTGGCAAGCATAGGTTCGATTTACACTTGAGTAAAAAAGGCATAGGTCCGATTTACACATGAGTCAAAAAGGTAGGCATATGTCCGATTTGTAGTTGAGTCAATAGGTAAGCCTAGGTCTGATCAAAAAGGCAGGTATAGGTCTGATTTACACTTGTGTGAAAAAGCGAGTTAAAAAGCTAGGCATAGTTCCGATTCACTCATGAGTCAAAAAGTTGGGCATAGGTCCGATTTAAACTCAAGTAAATTAGGTCTGATTTACACTTAAGACAAATGGTAGACGTATTTTCAGTTTGAGCTACAGTCGAAAATTTAAAAAGACTGACTGACACAAGAGTAAAAAAAGTTAGGTATAAGCCAACATTACACGCCAAAAACGTAACCGTAGGCCCGATTTACACGGTAATCAAAAAGATAAACGTAAGCCCGTTTTACACAGGTGTCAGAACGGTAGACATTGGTCTGTTTAACGAGACGTAGTCTCGGTTTACACTAGATTCAAATAGATAGGCATAGACCTCGTTTACACAAGACTGAAAAAAAGTAACATTTGGATCAGTTTAAACGATTCAAATCACAGGCATGAGTTTGGTTTTTACCTGAATCTCCGAAGAATGACATGAAATATCTTTTCTGAAAAGGCTGTAGTTGGTGTATTGAATATTCCCCTTGCAAGCCCTTTCAACACGGTTAGAACTTCAGGCAACCATGAATTAGTGATAATACCGGTTTAAATAACACACTTTGGTAATTTTAATTTCCGATAAAACGTTTGAAATTGAACCTAAGATACCCCAAATAGAATCACTTTGTTATCTGTGATTTTATTTTTTTTCTTACATCGCAAGCCTTCAAAAAATAAAAGAAATAAAAAAAGAATGACCTAAAACTAACTAAATAAATAATGAATAGAAAAAAAAAATCAATGAAACGAAAAATATCTTCATTAACAAGAAATCGCTACTGGTATTTTCTTGAAAACGATGAAAAAAAAAAAATTAAATTAAACTGTGAAGTTTTTGTTTATCTTTTTTTTTTTCTTTTACGAAGTTTAAATTGATACTTCGGGCGTAATGTTTTAAGGTTTATATCTAATTAAACATAAGATTTTTCCTGAAATGTCTATTTTTTTAAATTTTATTTTATCACTGACGCTATTTGCTTCACATTGTATAATGGTCTAAAAAAATCAAACTTGGTTTAGAGATTTCAAATCTTCTACTTAACAAACAATCAGTTTTGGGGTTAATCACTTTTGACACTAATATAATACAGGTTGGGAATCTGAACTCAGGATAATGTTGAATATGTAATTATAATAATAATAATTTGATAAAAATGCAAGCCTAAAATGTTTCCGATGTCAAAAATTATCTATTCGCTTCTGGAGTCTATCAAATTAAACTCGACCGTATACAAGCTATGTACTTTCGGGTCGTTCATCGAAAGCTCGATGTTCTCGTGGGGGCGTGACTGATACATCTCCCAACTCCAATCGTTCATTTATCGATTGATTTGTTTTGTACGGCTTATGAATAATTTATAGGTTATATAAAGCTAGACAATATTTTTACCTTGTAAGAATTTTTCTTGTTTTTTTTTGGGGGAAAATAACAATTTTGTGAAACATTCTTCGAGGCCCGATTTTACACTTGAAGGCTATGTGGACATCCACGAAGTTAGTCCTCGGTGTTAAAATATCTCTTTATTCCTACGCCCCAAAATATCTATTCATTTCTGGACTCTGTCAAATTAAATCCGGCCGAAACGAAGCTATGTGGTTTCGGGTCATTCATCGAACGCTCGATCTTCTCGCGGGTTGCGAGGGATACATTTCCCCTCTACAATCGGTCATTTATTGATTGATTTGTTTTCTACGGCTTATCAATAATTTATAGGTTATATAAAGCTAGAAAAAATGTTTACCTTGTAAGAATTCTTTCTTCTTTTTTTTTACTTTTTAGATAATAACAATTTTGTGATACATTTTTTGAGGCCCGATTTTGCACTTGAGAGCTATGAGGATACCATCTAAGTTAGTCCTCAGTGTTAATAGGTCTCTTGATTTTGTGAGGTGAGACCGAGTAAGAAAGTGAATTATCATATATCTTTGCGTGCACCCAGAGATCAACTCGTCATATAGCAATATTTATAATAGATATTAAATTAGATTCGTACAACTTTTATTTCCTCCCAGGAATGACATCGTACGAAAAAGCTAACATTGTTGGACATTAATACTGCATTATTCTATCATTGTTCTATTTCCCTCCTACTACTACCTTGTTTTGTTTTCCTCCTACTCTAGAATTACTTTAATTTCCTCCTACTCTTTCCTTGTATTATTTTCCTCCTACACTTTCATAGTTTTATTTCTCTCCTTCTCCTTCCTTGTATTATTTTCCTCCTACTCAAGCATTATTTTATTTTGCTCCTACCCTTTCACTGTTTTATTCCTCTCCTACTTCTTCCTTCCGTTATTTTCCTCCTACTCCAGCATTATTTTATTTCCTCCTCCTCTTTCTTGTTTTATTTATTCCTACTTTTTCATTGCTTCATTTTCCTCCTACCCTTTCTTTGTTTGATTTTCCTCCTACTCTTTCCTTGTATTATTTTCTATTTACTCTAGGATTATTTATTTTCCTCCTACCCTTTCATTTTTTTTATTTCTCTCCTACTCTTTCCCTGTATTGTTTTCCTCCTACTCTTTATTTGTTTGATTTTCCTCCTACTCTTTCACTGCTTTATTTCTCTCCTACTCCTTCCTTGCGTTATTTTCCTCCTACTCTTTCATTGTTTATCTCCTACTCCTTCCTTGTATTATTTTCCTCCTACTCTTTCATTTTTCATTTCTCTCCTACTCTTTCCCTGTATTGTTTTCCTCCTACTCTTTATTTGTTTGATTTTCCTCCTACTCTTTCATTGCTTTATTTCTCTCCTACTCCTTCCTTGCGTTATTTTCCTCCTACTCTTTCATTGTTTATCTCCTACTCCTTCCTTGTATTATTTTCCTCCTACTCTTTCATTTTTCATTTCTCTCCTACTCTTTCCTTGTATTGTTTTCCTCCTACTCTTTATTTGTTTGATTTTCCTCCTGCTCTTTCATTGTTTATTTCCCTCCTACTCTTTCTTTGTATTATTTTCCCCTTACTCTTGGATTATTTTATTTTCCTCCTACGCTTTCCTTTTTCATTTCTCTCCTACTCCTTCCTTGTATTATTTTCCTCCTACTCCAGCATTATTTTATTTTCCTCCTACTCTTTCATTATCTATTTCTCTCCTACGCCTTCCTTATATTGTTTTCCTCCTACTCTTTTTTTGTTTGATTTTCCTCCTACTCTTTCATTGTTTATTTCCCTCCTACTCTTTCCATGTATTATTTTCCACTTACTCTAGGATTATTGTATTTTCCTCCTACTCTTTCATTTTTTTTTATTTCTCTCCTACTCTTTCCTTGTATTTTTTCCTACTTTTTTATTTTTTTTTATTTTCCTCCTACTCTTTCTTGTTGTATTTCCCTCTCACTCTTTCATTATTTTTTCCTCCCACTCTTCTATTTTAATCTACTCCTACTCTTTCAATGTTTCATTTTCGTCATATTTTTTAATGTTTTTTCTAGTCTGTCAATGTTGCTTCCTCCTCTCTTTCAATCATACTTTCCCTCCTCCTCCTTCGATGTTCTTCCTCCTCTCATCCAATGCTTCACTTGCCTCTTCTTCTTTGTATGCTCCTTACTCCTCCTACTCTTTTAATTCATGTTTATTACTCCCACTCTTCCAATCCTCCTCTTTCAATGTCTCTTCCCACCTACTCTTTCAATTTTTCTACCTCTTCCTACTCTTTCAATCCCCCATTCTCCCCCTACGCTGTCAACGATATTTCTCCTCCTACTCTGTCAATCAACCTTCCTCTTCCGACGCTGTCAATAATCCTTTCTCCTCCTACTCGTTTACGTCCCCTTCTTCCTCCTTCTCCGCTGTCAATAATCCTTTCTCCTACTACTCTTTGACTTCCCCTTCCTCTTTCTACGCCGTCAATGGTCCTTTCTCCTCCTCCTCTTTTAACTCCCTTCCTCCTCCTATGATGGCTATGATCTTTTCTCCTACTCTTTCAATCCCCATTCCTCCTCCTACTCTTTCACTGATACTATCTACTCCTACGTATTAGTTATTTTATTTTCCTCCTACTCTTTCAAATGTCTTTTTCTTCCTATTTCTATATTTTTTTCATTTTCTCTTCATTGAGTGTTTCATTCTCCTATTGCCATTTTTTCTTCCATCACTTTCACTTGATTTTCTCTCGTTCTTTTTTGTTATTTCTTTATGTTTCAATATCTCTATTGCATGTTTCAATGTCTCTCTTCCATGTTTCAATGTCTTCCCTTCATGTTTCAATGACACACCGTCAGGTCTCAATGTCTCACCATGTTTCAATGATGTCTTTCTTTCATGTTGCAATGTCTTTCCTTCATGTTTCAATGATGTCTTTCTTTCATGTTGCAATGTCTTTCCTCCATGTTTCAATTTCTTCCCTTCATGTTTCAATGACACACCGTCATGTTTCAATGTCTCACCATGTTTCAATTATGTCTTTCTTTCATGCTGCAATGTCTCTCCTTCATGTTTCAATGTCTCCCCTGCATGTTTCAATGGCGCACCTCCATGTTTCAATGTTTCTCCATATTTCAATGTCTTTTTTTCCTGTTTCAATGTCACTCTTGCATGTTTCACTGTCTTCCGTTCGTGTTTCAATGTCTCTTAGTTATGTTTCAATGTCTGTCCTCCATGTATTCAATGTCTCTCACGTTTCAATTTCTCAGCGTCCTGTTTCAATGTCTCCCCATGTTTCAATGTTTTTTCCTTCATGTTTCAATGTCTCTTTATGTTTTAATGTCTTTCTTTCCTGTTTCAATGTCCCTCGTGGATGTTTCAATGTCACTCTTGCATGTTTCAATATCGTCCCTTCTTGTTTCAATGTCTCTTATTTATGTTTCAATGTATGCCCTCCATCTTTCAATGTCTCTTCTCTAAGTTTCAATGTATTCCCTTCAAGTTTCCATGTCTCTCCTTCATAATTCAATATTTGTCTTTCATAATTCAATGCCTCCCCTGCATGTTTTAATGGCTCTCCTCGATGTTTCAGTGTCTCTCTTTCATGTTTTAATGTCACTCCTGCATGTTTCAATGTCTTCACTTCGTGTTTCAATGTCTCTCCTTCATGTTTCACCATGTATTCTCCATGTTTCAATGTCTTCCCTTCGTGTTTCAATGTCTCTCCTTCATGTTTCGCCATGTATTCTCCATGTTTCAATGTTTTCCCTTCATTTTTATTGGTGTACTTTCTTCCTACATCCTTTCTCCCACTTTTTCACTGTTTCTTTCCTTTCTCCCTTTCTCTCTCTTATTGGTTCAATTTCCTCCTACCCTCTCATTGTGTTATTTCCTCCTACTCTTCCATGGATTTATTTTCCTCCTACTTCGGCATCGTTCTTTCATTGTTTCAATTTCTTCCTACCCTTTCATTGTTTCTTTTTCTACCTCTCTTTCATTGTTTCTTTTTCCACTAAATCATTCATTGTTTCATTTTACTCCTCTATTATCATCATTTATTTTAGCTCCTACATTGTGTTCAGTGTTTCGTTTTTCTCCGCCTCTTTCATTGTTTCAATTCCTCCTACCCTTTCATTGTTTCTTTTTCTACCTCTCTTTCATTGTTTCTTTTTCCACTAACTCATTCATTGTTTCATTTTATTCCTCTAGTATCATCGATGTTTTTAGATCCTACATTGTGTTCAGTGTTTCGTTTTTGTCCCCCTCTTTCATTTTTTCAATTCCTCCTACCATTTCATTATTTTATTTTCCTCCTACTCCTTTGTTTTTTTTTTCTTTTTCTACTTTCTCTGTCATTGTTTCTTTTGATTTCTACTCGTTCATTGTTTAATTTGTCATCGATTCTTTTTTCCCTTTTACTCATTCATTGCTTCTTTTTTGACTCCTAATCTTTCGTTTTCTTTTTTTTTTTCTTCTGTTCTTCCATTTCTCTTTTTACTCGTGCAGACATCTTTGGCCATGTTCCTATAGATCAGATCATTCGAACATACAAACATTTTGTTGTATCATCTGCCTATATTCTACCCAGTACATCGCAGGTAGCAAATATCTCATGACCAAAATAATATTGTGAACGGAATTACTTGTGGTGCAAACTTAATTTTTCGCCATTGGTATCAACGTGAGAATCGATAGAAAAAAACAATAATATCTGATAATCAACCTGACGGTGGCTGTTCGGAGATACAGGAAAATCGACAATAAATAATTACAAAGCGAACAAAAATTATAAGAGATTCTGTTTGGTTTATTTTATTGATTGTTTATTAAAAAAAAATAAACAACAAAAAAAAAAGACACACACACAACCTTTCGTCCACCTGTTTAACAAATTACAAACTGCACGGATCCAAACAAAGGATAAAATGAATGGCAGGGTTCTGAGGTAAAGCTAATTGATGTTAGTTGAAAATAACTTTCAAGTGTTCAATACTTAAACTATTACTACATTTTGCTGTAATAATTAAAAATATATTCAAAGACTGACACAATGAAATCTATTTTGACTATCGATAAACAAGTATTGTGAAAGACATGCGTGGAGTTAGTAGCCATAGTTAAATTCAAAAACTAAATAACACATCTGTACAACAAACAGAATTTTCAAAGTCTGTAATAAAAAGAAAAAAAAACAACTGGGCAAAAATAATATCAAGCAAACAAAGAAGCAATATACCCAAAGTAAATTATCAGGAATAAGGCAGAAAGTTAAATAAAATAAACTAAGAATTGGTATCAACACAAAAAAAGCAAGTTCGGACAAGCGAACGAAACATTCTGACTTCAAGACACAGACAGATCGGGACTGAGTCATATGAAACTGCTTATCGGCTTATTTTATTGGCCAAGAAAAATCCTAGCCTGCATTTGTGTTCTTCTGCCTATAAAAGGGGCGGTGTAAGTGTTTTGCAGTCAATCCCACTTGGATTGAAAGCCACAACATGTAGTTGGAGATCAGTTTTATATTATTACGAGCTGAGGTACCCAGCATTGCCCGGGTATACATGACTGTAATTTTATAACCGCACACTCCTGTATACCTGGATCCACTGTCTAGAAATATCTGCCTGCATCACCGCTTGCATACATCATCCGTTAGTATACAAAGATACTCATCTACCTCATCTTTTTTACGGTGTGTCCTTCGAAAGTGCTTGATTATTCTTAATAAAGTAATTCCATCGCTAAAAATTATCGTGTGTTTGTTACTCGGGGTTAAATTGTTTCAATGTTTTAGATATTCAGTAAATTTCCTCTGGCCTTAATAACTTTCAAATAACATGGCATTATTCACAAATCTAATAATCAAACAAGAACAGTGATGAAGCGTCAGAGATTGATTCAGATGCAAGTGCAAACGCATAAACGCCACCCTTCTTCTCACGTTTCCTGTAAAGCTGGTGCTAATAAGTGGTTCATCGGGAACTTTCCCTTTTAACGACTTAATAATCCTTCTCAAGCAATCTTTGCAACAAAGGTTGTTCGAATACCAATTTAAGATGGAATCATATGAAGAAACTATTGGCTAAATAGCAAAAGCCGATTTTGGACCTAGTTTGTCGCAGATTTCTTCCACATAACTGAGATAATCTAAACTAAACATTCACGGAAGACGATCTGTATGTCACATGTAATTTACATTTCAAATTTGTAAAGCATCGGATGAAAAATCAGGGATTTATGACCGAAAAAATAGGGTTTTTATACAGTGTTTCGTCATTGTCGGTGAAGCGAGCAGGACTAAATCCACACTATTTTGATTTTCTAAAAATCTACGCTTAGATATGGCACAAGGCCAAAATTATAGGGCACCCAGTGAATATCGAACTCTCTATTCAGTCGTAATTGATCTAACCATTACACCGCGTCGAGGTAATCTTCTTTTCTAAGTGAAGCTTAAATATGGTACAAGGCCGACAGTATAATTAATCTAGCGAGACAAGCGTGTTAAGCATTACACCACGTTGAAATGATTTTGATTTTCTAATCTACGCTTAGATATGGCACAAGCCCAAAATTATAAAGTGGCGCGTATAGGAAAAAAAGGCTACTGCGTTTTAAATGTTTATTTCCACACTAGACTACCCACAACCCCTTGGGTCACTGACCGTTCAAGTTGTAAAACATTGAATTTGATTTCAGCATTTCATTGAAATGAAAGTTACTTATATTATGATTCAGTTAAATATTTCAATTCTTTAATGTTTTACTGATTGTTTACAGCATTTAATAGGGATAGAATTTCCGGGGTAAACTTGCAATTTAAATCAGATTAACTTAAAAATATTTTTTAATATAGCAAAAAATGATTTTAAATCATTTTCAATTGAAAATATTTTTAAATATG